TGGATTCCTTGTTGTCTGAAAATGTCAACAGGCTTGTCTGTTTGAGTAACTGGCTCAAAGCAAAGAAGTAGTAGGCTTTCCTTTTATTGGTAACCGTTACTGTTCATTCTTTCTGAAATAAGAGGCTGGGTTGAGCCTCTGCTGAATAAAGAGCAGTAGCCTGACTGCTATGTTCAAAGCAAACTTGAGAAAAGTATTAAGCCATGGTTTAACTGCACTATAGGCTGAGTCCTAGTTTAACCTACATGTGCACTTTGTAATTTTATTTTGTATCACCCTGTTTTGATCCCTTAGAAAGGGATAATATATATATTACATATATATTACATATATATTATATATATTACATATATATAATATATATAACATATAATATATAGTATATATTACATATATAATATATATTATATGTTATATTAATATATATTATATATATTATATAATATAATATCTGTAGGAACGTTTCCATTCGTCTGACAGTCCAACAGTAATACGTCATTAATAATTAATTAATTAATTAATTAATTAATTAATTAATAATTATTACATAACTTTTACTGGAAACACGTAATGAAACATTCCTGATAAACTACTTTTTACTTTTGTTTTCACAGTACGGATAAAAAACACAAAATTAATGAAACTACTTGCCGCCATGTTGAACCGCCATATTTTCTACAGTAACATTTATGGTAAAAATGTGACTTAGACTGGATACCAGCTTAGTGACTGAAGCTAAAGCTAAAACATGTTTGGAACAGTTTCTCCTGCACACTTGGAAGGTGAGTGTGAGGCGAGGGGTATTCAGTTGGCTGCAATCTGAAACCTCGCCACTAGCTGCCACTGAATCCGACACACTGGATCTTTAAAACACACTGAAGGTGGACTTTATAACATATTAAAGGTAAAATATTAAGAAGATTGTTTTATTTTGAAGTATTCAGAGATTTCCTGCTCTTATTCAACAGAAGGATGCAGTTGAACCTGTCTGTCTGTGTTGTATTGAGCACAGCCTGAATCCGTTTCACTCTCCGTCTGTCTCACTCTCCGTCTGTCTGTGCTCCGCTGATGTTACATAAGTTCAGACAAAAACGCAGACATGAACCAGACAGCTGTGTTATTCTTGGCTCTGGATCAAACACACACACACAGACACACACACGCACACACAGACACACACACAAACACGCACACACACACACACACACGTGCACACACACACACACACAAACACGCACACACACACACACACGTTCACACACACACACACACACACACACACACACACACACACACACACAGACCATGTGTTTTACATGTTGACTCTGCAGTGACATCATTGATCCACCATACAGCACCCACACATTTCACAATAAGAGCGCTGCAAAAGAGACTATAGAAACAACCTGATATCTCATCAAATAATCAATAACATAGGACAAATCAACCTCAGTCTCTCTTTTTTGGGGTATAAAGTTCTTCTGACCCAACCTGGGGGCCTCCACTAGGGGTCGCCAAAGCTTCACAGGGGGTCGCGAGGTCTTCTTGATTTTAAGGGGTACTTGAAAACTTTGAAAATATACAAAGTAGGTCGATATCTCAGCATTGTTCATTTCTGTGAATAAAACTACAGGAACATATTATTATTAAAGATATGAACACAGTGTATATTATTATATTCTTATTATTGATCCAAGCGTACAGTGTATAGAGCTTCAGTCTCTGATCAACAGCCTCGTCCTGCATCAGAAAGCAAACAGCTGATCGATCAATAATCAGTGAATCAGAAGAATATTAAGTCTGATTGTTAAAACTAGGGCAGACTGTGCAGGATAAAGACAATGTGATATCAGTGTGAATTAACTTCCTGCACCGTTTACAAATGAACCTCCAGCTCTCACATCCAAATCTCTGGTTTTATACAACCCCCCCAAAGTGATTGAGTTCACTGTTTAGGTTCATTGATCAGATGATCAGCTGTTCTCTGCTGTTATTGATACTGATCAATATGAAATACCCAGTAAATACAGTCTCTGAGCTGGAGAGTAAAAACAGTACAGTAAATAACAGAAAATAACGGATATACAGTCATTTTCTATAATGAAAATATAGTTTTTATCTTTAATTATTTATCTTTTTAATGCTTAATTAAAGATATTTACAGTGTAAAACAATGATCTATAAATCCAGGTGAACTCTGCTATAATATAAATAATCAGGCTTACATTTACAGCAGAGTGCTGTAACATAACATAACATAACATATTAACAGTATTAAACTAGAATTTAACAGTTTAATCTGTTAAATAAACAGTAAATATCTGTGAATCAATTAAAAATGTATTTTAATCTTTTAATGTGAAAAAAAGGAAATGATACAGTTACAGATTTTTCACGTTATTTTACATTAAATGTGTAAATTCACAGCAGGGGCGGTCCTAGACCATTTGGTGCCCTAGGCGAGCTTTACTGATAGCGCCCCATCCCCACGAGAAAAGAA